TGCTCTGGCTGCCGTAAAAAAGTACACAGACCAGGGGGCTTCAGTGATAGGTATTGTCTTCACAGTTCTGGAGGCTGCAAGTCCAAGGTCAAGATGTTGACAGATTTGGTTCCTTCTGTGGTTTCTCTGTTTGATTTGCAAATGGCCACCTTGTCCCTGTGTCTTCAAATGGTCTTTTCCATGCGTGTCTCTGTCCTAATCTTCTTATAAGATGCCAGTCATATTGAATTAAGACCCACCCATATGACCTCATTTTACCTTAATTTTCTCTTTAAAGACCCTATCTTGGGCCTGCCTCATGGCCTGGTGCTTATAGAAGTCTGATCCCACATGGCCAAACACACAGTTCAAGTCTCAGCCTTGATGGCTTAAGAAACATGCCAGGTATGTGTGCGTGCATGCCTCAAACCCTGACAGGGTAGAAAGACAGAGGAGAAGGGATTTGATGTGACCACGCCCCAGTGTGTGTGTGTGTGTGGGGTACTTTCCCCCTTTATTTCTCTATTTCTCAGAGGGCACATGCCCTCTGCTGGGGCTGGAGAAAACAGAAACAAACAAACAAAACAAAACAAAACAAAACCTCTTCTCTGATGTACTGGGGTATTAGAACTTCAACATATACATTTGGAGCAGAGGGGCTCAGTTCAATCCATAACGGAGCTGCTCTTGAATTCACACCATTGTGGAATCAAGGAGACAGACATCTGCTTCTTTTTGGCGCCTGTCTGTGAACAGTGAGCACAGGGAGGTGGTCCGGCCGCCCACCCTCTGGGGTGCAGCAGGTCGAGCCCAGCCAGCTGGACTTCCCCATGCATGGCTCCGCTGAGTGAGCCCTGCCATGCTCCAGGCTGTGCCCACTCTGACCAGTGGCGCCCTCACTGTACAGGACTCTAATGCCACACCTTCCTTAACCATTACTGCCGTAAATGGATTCCACATGCCTCCCCAGCTTACGATGGCGGGCACTTCCTCCCGGGTCTGAAATAAGTTTTCAGCCTGAAAAGATTTTCTCCCCAGAGTACTTCGGCAATGTCTGGGGACATTTGGTTGTCACAGCTGGGAGAAGGAGGTTGGCCCTGGCATCTAGTGAGTAGAGGTCAGGGATGCTGCTCAACAGTACACAGCACACAGATCAGCTCCCACAACAAAGCAGCAGCCCACAGGAGAGTCCAGAGAAGAGAGCACCCTCCCCAAACTGAGGACCTCTCGGACTGCAGTTTGGACTTCAGTGACTCCCTGGGCAGCACTTGACTTGACAGACAGATGGATGGACGGACAGATGGATGGACGAGAGTATTCCTTATTCTCACGGAGGAGAGCATTCCTTATTCTCTGGTGACCTAACTCCAGGATTTTCGGAAATGTTTGCCCTTGTGGGTGTTCTCCAGACCCTCAACCTAGGTTCAGATTTGACTGTGGGTGAGTGGTCACCTTTTGGCAATCAGTCAATAGTTCAGGATGGACCATGTCCCAAGCACAGCTATAGGCCTACAAAGAACTACAACAGCAACGACTACAGTATTGGGGAAAATTGATTGAAACTTGGCAGGTGTTGTGCTTAGCATTTTATGTGAATTCTACCCTCCAATTTGGCAAAGCAACTCTGCAAAGGAACTATTAACATAATTTCCATTTATAGATGAAGAAAATGAGGTTTACCAAGGGTCAGTGACTTAGGAAAGGCCAGTGACTTGCCCAAGATTACTCAGTCTGTGAGGTAGTGACTGGAAATTGCAGAGCCAGGCCTGTGGATTCAAGGTGACTAGATCTAAGCTTCTAGTCACTAAACTGCACGTGGAAAAGGAAGACATGGTCCCTGAAACAAACTTAGGGATGTACGTGGATTCACTGTGTGAAATGGTCCTTTCCAGGCAATTTTATCCTGATAACCATAAGTGCCTTGCAGATTCCCAAGTTCCAGCTCCGAACATGGTGACTCAAAGGCTGGATTTTGTCTCCTCTGATGAAGAGATCCAGCTTGCAGGCTGCAGTCACACCGGCCTTTCACCTCAACTCAGGCGGCAGAGCAGCTTTGGCCCAGAAGCCTCTGGTTAGCACTCCGCAAAATCTAGACTGTTTCTACTTTCCAGTCAGAGGCCACAGGGTGACAAGTGTTTGCATGGAAGAGCATAGGACCTGTCACAAACGCCTGTCACAGCCCGCATCCCAAGAGCCCAGTGCACCCCAGTCACCTAGGGGCTCCCTAACTCTGCACTCCTGCCATGGCCTTGGCGACAGCCATCTCGGCCACAGGAGCCATGTTTTTCTCCCACTGCTGGTCAGACACCCCACCAGAAAGCAGAAAGCCTGGTCTACCGGGAGCAGTGGGAAAGGAAGACTTGGCAAGCTGAAAGGAAGACTTCTGAGAGACCCGGGTGGACTGGAGTGCCGCTGTGGATCTGCGACTTGTACAAGGAGCTGGGAAGACACACTCCCACCCAGGGTGGCAAAACTGAAGGATGAGAAGGGACTTGGGCGCAGCCAGATGGTGTGGGGTGTGGGGTGGGAAGGGGGGTTCAGCCTCTTCAGTCTCTTCTAGCCCCATTTCCAAATCCTTTTCTCTGCAACTCAGCTCTCTGGGACTCACCAAACTGACTTCTGATAGAGGTGCCTGTCAATAGAACTGGCTAGAGCCTCCCCAGGTGCACATAGCGGCAACCCCTAATTCAGGGAAGGATCCGGCTCCGGAATCTGTCTGCTTGAGGCCCTGCTGCCAGCCAAAGGCAGACTGTGCTCGAGTGGGAGGATGCCCAGCCACACTCGCTGAAGGGCCCTAGAGCGGAGCCACCGCCAGGCACAGGTCAGAGGGCACCCGAATCGAACCCTCACTGAGAGGAAACCCCAAGCTGAATTTCTACCCCCCCCCCATGCCCTGAAACACCTTGGCCTCGGTTAGATCGGCACAATGCCCCCTCCTGGGAAGGAGGGGAACTGGTCCTCAGTGAGAATAAGGTTTAGACTGAGGAGATGGGAGGGTGCTGAGGGGCTGGCCAACCCGATTTTCATTGCTCTCTGGCGCTTTGCTTCAGCGAGAACTAGAAACGGCTTCTTCCTGGGGAGCGAGAGCACTCCAGCCCATGTTCCAGGGGAACTGAAGAGAACCCCCAGCCTTAACCCCAGCAACCGCAAACTCAGCTTGATTGGAAGGACAAGGTGGAAGATTTGAAAAATGAGCCCCACAAACGTTGAACGACCCTAATTGGAGCGTTTTTCCCGCAGAAAGGGACGCGTTAGTTCACTTTGCCCAGATGCAGGGAGTCTGGCGCTCCCCAAGGTGTGTTGGGCAGAAAGAGCGGATTTCTCACAAGAAAAGGAGTAGGGCAGGTCCAGGTCCACCCACACCCCCCCCCCCTGCGCTCACAGTGGGAGTCGGAAAAAGGCACGGAGAACCCAGACCGCTGTTTCTGGGGTCTGCTTCCCTGAGCTCAGAACGCTCCCCCTTGGCTGGCTGAGTGCTCAGCCTTAGCAGAACTTCAGGGGCTGCCTTCTCCCCTTTACCCATCATAGCGCATTAGAACTCCTGCACATGTCCCCAAGGAAGGCACTGTGGGTTCTACGCCGAGGGGGCTGTGGGATCACAGCGAGAATCCAGGGACGTGAGGTTCAGATCTCGCCGGGACTGCCTGGGGGGACATCGCTCCGCGTCCTCGAATTCTACTTGGGAACGTGGGCTACTAGAGACTCCGCTAAAGGCGTTGGTCTCCACGGAAAGCGAAGGGGCCTTTGCGAGAGGAGGCCGCCGCGTCCCGCAGACTGGGAATTTGTCCCTAAGGTTTATCAATCTGACCTCGGCCAAGGATGAATTTCTCTCGCTCGCAGAAAAGTGGCTTCTGCGCTTGGGGATGGCCGCCAGGACTGCAAAACCGCGAGAGCTGGAGTGGGTGGGGGTAGATCCCAGGCTGGGGGGGAACGCCTCAGGAGTTAGGACCCCAGACTAGGCGGGTCCCGGCAGAGCTCAGTCCTCCGCTCCCCGCTCTGCTCTCTGCGCTCCAAGGCACGCGTGCGCCCCCGAGCCCCACGCCCGCGGAGCGCACCGGCCGGCCCAGAACTGGGGTCGCCGCGGGCTGCCAACGCCGGGCAGGGCTGGCCCAGCCTCAGGTGAGCCTCCCGCTGGGGATGCACCCGCTTCCCAACCAGCCCCAGGAGGGAGACTCCACCCAGGTCGGCTCCCGTCCAGTCTAGAGCAGAAGCTTCGGGGCCTAGAGCCACGGGCATTTCTAAGAAAAAAAAAAGTTTATTTAAAATTTTGTACATAAATAAATAAATAAATATCTTCTGGTATTTAGAGACCGTACAATTACACAGCTAGGCTAGGTCGGGGCCGCTCCGGGAAGGGGACGAGGGGGGTGGCAGAGACCGAGAGCCGCGGCCTAAGTTTAGAGGAACGCAGAGCGTGTCAGAAACAGAGTGAATCCGTTTCCTGGACAGGGACACCCCGGAAGGTATTTCTCTCCCGGGAGAGGGGTGCGGGGACTGCGGACAAGGCTGATAAGGGAGGAGGCTCCCTGAGGAGGAGGCGAGTCCGGGGAAGGGAGAAACCACGTTCCTAAGTGTGCGCAGGCGGGAGGGCGGAGAGAAACGACCACGGGAAAGGAGCAAACGGGGAGAGAAAGACGCAAAAAGGAGACGAGAAGCGAACGGGCACGGGCGGACGAGTTTGACCAAAAACGGAGAGTGGAGGAAGCCCAGAGAGGGCGGGCGAGGAAGTGGCTGCGGCCAGCAGGGCGCCGCGCGGGCCGGGTTGCCTACGCCGGGCAGCGGGGCCACACGGAGGAGCTGGAGCGCTTGCAGGGTTCACGGCTTGGAGTTCCCTTTGGACACTCGCGAGCCCTTGGGCAGGGATACCAGGGCCAGGTCTCAGCCAAGTTCTCAGCCCTGCCAAGGGCCCCCAGAGCAGTGCCAAATCCTCGCGAGGCAGTCGTTTGGCAGCGGGTGCCTAGGGGCCAGCGCAGTGTCGCAGGACCAGTCTTTGAGGAGCGGGGTGGCTCTGGGGTGGGCGACCTAAGGAGGCGCGTGCCTAGGGAGTGACCGTGAGATCCCGGTCGTCCTTCCCTGACGAGGACGGAGACATGGGCAATTCGTCGTCATCCTCGGAGCACTTGGCCGAGGAGAGCGACGCGCACTTGCAGCCTTGCGGGGCGCCCCCGCCGGCACTGGCACCCCCGCCGCCGCCGCGGTGGCTGCTACCCTTGCCCTCCTTCTTGTGCTTCACGCGGCGGTTCTGGAACCAGATCTTCACCTGCTTTTCGGACAGATTCAAGTAGGTCGCGATCTCGATGCGGCGCAGGCGAGACAGGTACATGTTGGAAGCGAACTCGCGCTCCAGCTCCAGCAGCTGCGTGCTGGTGAACGCCGTGCGCATCCTCTTGCTGCTGGGCAGCTGGTTCGAGCCGTTGTCTGGAAGAGTGACAGTGCAGAGGGAGAAGGGTCAAACCCTTGTGGGCCCAATACCCTGCTAGGGCGGCCGCTCGAATCCCGGGACCTTGGTCTCTCGCCCACCCCCTTTCCCCAAACACGCAGCGGCGTGACCGAGGGCACCTGCTCGATGTAGCGAGCGATCCCGATTCTTCCAGAGGCAGGCGGCCCTGACACCCCTGACCCGGTCTTTACTTTCCGTTGGACGCCCCCTCCAGATCCTGGATCTTCTTTCCTTCCCGACCCCCTCCCGGCGTCCTATCCAGGCCATTGATCTTCACACCACCCTGAGTGCCCCCCTCAGTGCCCAACACGACCCTTACCAACCTCCATACTCCAGTCCAGCACGCCCAGGGTCCCTTGTGCCCCACCCCAGGCTCACCAACCGGCCTCGGACCGCCTCTGCGCTGTCCCTCTGCGCCCTTGCCCCAGCCCCGCTTACCTACGGAAATGCAGTGGAACTGCCTGGGGTCTGGCAGCGGGTAGGAGGTCTGGTAGAGCGCGGCGGCGGCAGCGGCGGCCGGGCCGTGAGCGACTCCGGGCGACATGGCCGAGTGCTGGCGACCCAGGGGCGCGTGGCAGTACTGCGAGCCGAAGGGCGGGAAGGACGCTTTGAGCAGGGGCAGCGCGGGCGGCCCGGGGGGCCCGTGCAGCTGCGAGGCGGTGACGCAGAGCGGGCACACGCACAACAGTCCAGCCTTGCGCGCGTGGCAGGCGCCAGGAGAAAGACCGTGCAGCGCGTGCGGCGGGGGCACCGCGTAAGGGAAGAGC